CGGCGCCGGTAGTTGTCCACTGAAGTTTCCACCTGGGAAGAAGCAGAGACACCTTTTGCTCGGCATCTTGTGCACGGGCACTAGGAGAGAATTTTCTTGCTGCAACTGCTCAAGATCACGGCGACTCGTCGTCAAGGTTCGCGCCGTCTCCTCGCTGCTCGCGAGGGCCGTGTCTCGCTGCGTGTGTGCCTCCTCGAGCTCCTTCTTGACAGCCATCAGCTGCTGTTCCAATTGGGCTCCAGACACGCGGACCTCCTCCTGCAGCGCGTTGATCTTCTGGTGCAGCGCGTCTCGCTCTGTCTCCCAGTCGGCAGGTGCGGCGTCGGAAGGCGCGGCCTGAACCCGATCCTCGAGATCTTCAACTTCCGATTTAAGACGCGCGTTCTCAGTCTTGTAGCGAGCAAGCTGCTCCTTAAGCTGCTTGAGCATCTTCTCCGTGCCCTTGACGTAGTGGACGGCCGACTGGTAGTCGTTCTCAAGCTGCGACAACTTCTCCCGATACGCATTCTCGGTTGCTTCCAGATGGCTGGCGTTGCGTTGCGTGTTGTCCTCGTGGTTCGATGCCGCCGCATGCAGCTGATCTTCGAGCTCGCGGATTCGGGCTTGTTCAGGCGAGTTCCCACGGGGACTGCCCACACTGCGGGAGCGTGGCATGCCATTCGGGCTGATCCCGCGTTCGATCAAGATGTCCTTCAGAGTGTTGTGCTGGACGCTCATGGCGTTGGTCTCAAGCTGTTGGTTTTGAAGCTGGTGCTTGAGGTCCGAGTTGAGAGCCTGTAGGGACTGAGTGTCACGGAGGGCAGCCTGGAGTTGTCGGCGAATTGCCACGCCTTCGCGGCTGGACTGCTCTTGGTAAACCTCAAGGCCTGCATACGCTCCTCGGCGGCAGCGACAGCTTAATCAGCTGCCACGTCTTGCCTCTTGTTGATACTTCCTTCACCAGCGCATTGGACGCGGCAAGCTGGCTCTGGAGAGCCGCGAGGCGATCTGAGTCTGCCTTGGTCGCACCGCCGACATCCCGCGTAGAAAGTTTTTCGAATCCAGCCATGACAGCCGACGGTGAGTCCTTGCTTCATGGGCATGTTTCTTCCGAGATCTCCTCGGCATCGCGGAGACGTTGTGTGACAGCCACCAGCTCAGCAGTGCGAGCCTTCGTGTTCAGCCTTGAGCTTGGTGAATTTTGCCGTCGATCCTTCTTCCCGCAGCGTACGTTCCTCGTCCAGCTTACGTTCGAGGAGCAGTTTCATTTCGGCAGAAGCAGCCACAGCCTCTCGCAGCGAGTCAAATGTTTGGTTCTGCTCCTTGGAGTTGCCGATCGAATCCGTGTACTTGGTTTGGAACTCATCCTTCTCCACTTGCAAGAGTTGCATCGCTGCTGTGACCTCGGCAAACTGGACAGATTGCTCGCGCGCCTCGCGCTGTATCATGTGGAGTTCAGCTTTGAGACGCTCCAACTCAGGCGAGTTCATCGTCTTGTACGACTCCAGCTCGGCCATGCGCTTCTGGGAAGCGTTGGTGGTATCATCGGCTAGCTGCGAGCGCGTCTCTCGGCCTCGAGCTCGGTCTTCATGGTTTCCAGTTGGGCCTGCAAGCTCTTCTGGTAGTTGAGAGCGGCAGCAAGCTTCTTGCTGATCTCGTTTGAACGGTCATCGGCATCACGATCCGAATCGAGTTGCGGGGTGCTGGCCGTGCTACCGCCCATGTGCGCAGCGAGCTTGGCTCGTGAGTACACAGCTTCTTGAATCGCAGCGTCACGCTGCTTTTCAGCCTCGGCAATCTGCTTGGCTGCGAGGATCGCCTGTTTGTCAACGGCGCTTTGGACGCTTGCAAGCTCGGTGCGCATTGCCAACAAAGCCTCAATCAACGGCTTGTCTTCGTCATCGAACGTTTCCGTAGCCCGACTATCCAGGACAGGACTGAGCGTTGCGTTGGGCACGTAGCCGGCCTTGCGGGCGAGTTCCAGCTCAGACGCGTACCAGGCGTTACGGTTACGCGAAGAGTCGAGCTCCTTGAGCAAGACGACGGTCTGCGAGTTCCGGCCTGATGACCTTCGAGACAGAGGGTTGCTTGGTTGGCGGGTCGGTGGAGGGGGCGAGGCGGCTCGAGGTGCTTGCTGAACTGGTTGCGCCTGAACTTGTGTTTGCTGCACCTGCTGTTGAATTGGCTTAATATTGGGCTCGGCCGTGCTGTCGACCGACCCTTGAGATCGGTTGCCCTGCCGAGACCTTGACTTAACAAGCTCCGCAGGGGTAGACTCCGACTTTGAGCCTGTTCGCACGACTTGCTGTGTGGGCGTCCGCCTTCCGTTGACGATCGGTGATTCAACCTCCTTTGCCACGTCTCGAGTCACGGGTGATTGTCGTGTTGAGCCGATCTGAGGAGAAGAGGTTGTGGCTTCACGCTCCGTCGAGGGCCCACGACTCCTGACTAGGTTCGAAGTCTGCACACTAGGCTTGGCTGGCGTGGGGCCTTGCGGTGGAGGACCGGCGGGAGGAGACGACCCAGCGCCGCGAGGTAGCCTCGAAGCTGCTGCCACACCTGCGACACCTGACCCATTGACCTCGGGTGTGCCTGGCCCGGCGCGGAAGCCGTTCGGAGGGCTGCTGATCCCGTTAGGGTTTTGAGGGGCCCCAGCAGGTCTCCGGAGCTCGGGAGGCCCCTGCGATCCATCCCTGGATGCCATTGGGCGCGCTGGATTTGTTTCGGCGGCACCGCTGGGTCTCCTGGCTTGAATGCCCTTTTGCGCGTTTTGTTGCTGTTGCTGCAGTTGTTGCTGCTGTTGTGCCTGAGCATCATTTGGATATCTAATCTTGGTCGTGTCCAGTGTATAGACAATGCCAAGGTCGCCAGCATTGACAGGCGCAGAACTCGGTTCTCCACCAACCACAACAACCTGCTTTCCCACGGTTGTCATGCTATGGCCAGATCGCGGCGATGGCGACGGCCCCATGTTTTGAAAGGTGTACCATCGGCGCGAGGTTATCCTGAAGGCAGCCAGATCGCCGAGGTCAGCTCCCTCTTCCGTCCGGCCTCCAAAGATGTACATGACATCGTCAACGACAGTAGCGGCGTGCCCCTCGCGCGGGACGGGGATATATCCTATGCAATCCATCTGCGACCACTCATTAAGTGCGGGATCATAACACCAGACATCGTTGAACCACTGGTAGCCGTTGGTGCCACCAAAGCTAAGTCATGATCAGTCTATGTTCTCTCCTCACGGCCACTGGGCGACTTACAGGTACATCTTGTCGTTGTAAGTTATTACCGAGTGATTCGTTCGCGCAGGAGGGATCTGGCCTGGAGGAGGACCTCCGCTGTCGCTGTTCTGGATGAGCAGTTCCCATCGGTTGTTGGGCATCTGTAACTGGTTGAGATCGAAAGCAGACAGGTCGTTCATGAAGTAACCCTCAACCTGCCCACCAAAGACGTAGATCTTGGAACCAAGGATATTGAGCGAGTGGCCGTAGCGTCCTGAGGGGCGGGGCCCTGAAGGCAGAGCTCGCGACCATTGTCTTGTGGCTGGTCTGTTGTCAGTACAGAGCGACGCACAACGGGCAAGTCGCCAGGTTGTTGGGAACTTACAGGTATTGAGCAGGTACAGGGTCTCGTCGAGGACGTCGGTTTCCTCCACCTTGGTATCTCCTCCGTAGACAATAAATGCGTTACCAACGAGAAGACTCGAGTGACCGACGCGAGGGCCAGGGCCTTCGGCTGTCGTTGCCAGGGGATAGCAAGCCATGCTCTGACCGGCCTCAATCATCCACAGATCTCCCTTGACCGTCGAACTGTTGATCAGCCCGCCCATCAGGTAGATGTCGCCCTCCTTCGACGCCACCGAGTTGACGGCGGCGCCATATCTCGGAAAAGGGGGAGGGTGTGCAGATGTATATGTCAGGCGTCGCTGCGACCAAGGGTACAGCGCAGAGTTTGGGTTCTGCTGTTGTGGTGGTGGCTGTTGCGTCTGCTGCAGGGGTTGCTGCTGAGGCTGCGACTGCATCTGTGGACTGTTGCGAAACTGCGCAGTCAAGGATTAGTACCTATGATGCTATACAAGGTGCCCGACACAATGCGAAATTTGTGAAGAAATTCCTGTGTTCATAAGGGAACTTACCGGCAAATCGCTGGGCGCAGACGGCGCCTGGTCAACACTGGGCCCCCGTTGGCGGCCGTGTGCTTGCTCTGGGCTTCCTACGCTGCCCTCCTCGCCGAAAGAGTTCATACTGCCGGTTGGGGTCGATCGTTGTGCGACAGCCTTTTCATCCTTGGCTACTCTGGCGCTGGCGCTCTGAATCGAGCCCTGGGACCCCGAAGTGCCATCGCGACTGGCGAGGGCCCGGTCTTGATTCTTTTTCGACTTGAACAGGAACGCCATGATGACTGGCTGATCACGCGCAAGCGACGAGGCAACGACCAAGGACGAGCTGTGGGTGCGCAACCACTCAACCAGGTAAAGTTGATGATGTTTGCTTTGGTGTTCGGGTGGTGTAACGACAGGACTGGCGCTCGAGCGACAGAGTGCAGGTCGTTGTCGTCAGGGGGCGTGGAAGCAGCTGGATGTTCGCGCTCGTCGCCTGAGGGGGGAAGGTGCTAGGCGACTGTGGAGGTGGAAGCGGGATCGGGAGCGATGCTGATGCAGGAACACCGAATGGAGTCGGGACTCGAGTTTGCAGGTGGCTGGGTTCGCATCGATGGCCAGGGCAGGGAACAGTTCGCGATGTTCGACCTCGCCTTTTTTTTGGGGGGGGGGGGTGTCGGCCGTCGAAGGGTTGAAGAGGGGGTTGGCGGAAAGAATGTTGGGTCGGCTGGCGGATTACGGGGGCTGGGTAAGGGGCTGCTTGTTCGTCGCGCGACTTGTGAGCCCAGGGCGTCGCAGTATCGTCAAAATCGTCAGGAGGATACTACAATTATGCGGAGAGTCGAGATACAGATGCGAGACTTCATCAACAGGCCGTCGCGCCTTCGGTCAACCTTCTTGTCGTGGTCGGAACCTGATGATGTCGACACAGGCTTGACAAAATTTGGGGAGTTGAGGATGAATGGCCGGCCGTCTTGGGGGGACTTGTCTTGGTGCACTTCGAGGCTCCTTCCCAGTTTCGGGGGGGGGGGGGGTGCTGTGTGCTGGTCACTGGCTACTGGCTGATGGCCTGCCGTGCCCGGTCCCATTTCCTGGGGGCGAGATACCTAAGGTAAGGTACCTTCGGGGGCTTCTGCACTGAGATGCGCTGTGCTGCGACGGTGCCGGGCCGTTCACACAGGCGTCGCAGCCAATGAGAGCCGTTTGTGACACCAGCTGATGGGTCGCCTGCCAAGCAGAAACATTTTTAGGGGGAAAGGGCACCAGAGTGGACCACCCCCAAGCCACCAAGTTGGCGCCTGTTCTGCACTTTTGAAGTGGGCTGCGTGCGAGGGGGGGGCGTCGCGGGGGGCTGGCAGCAGTACTCATGGGGTACCTGAACTGTCACATGCACCCTGACAGTCTCGCAAGTCTTTGACATGTCCTGCTCCCTGCCATCCACTCATCGTGGATTCCCGTCCCTTATGCAGGTCTCCGGCTTCAGGGGCTGACGGATGAAGGGTGAGGCGCAAAGGCCACACGACGCACACGCCCAGCAAACTCAACGAAGATGCCGACAGATGCTACAATGGGTCTCCGATGAATAGCGATGAGCAAAACTACATTCCACGTTAGGGTGACGTTGCCATCCTCGATCGCCATCTCGGTGCCTGACAAGGACACGGCAAGTTGACAATGCTGGGTGATAACACAAGGGGGTGTCAGTGCGCCGCGCGCGACTCGACGAACATATTTGGGTCGCGCGCATCTTTGAGGTGATTTCCCAGCGAACATCGTACAGCAAAGTAAATAGGGGCCCAACCGCGGGTCACCGCGGGTCACCTGTCACGGCTTGGTGCATGGCCCATTCGCAGGGCGACGATCAACTCAGAGCAGGCGACCCTGGTACTGCTCTGGCACAGAGAGAGAGAGAGAGAGAGAAAGAGATTTGCAGACGGATGACTCGTGCCTCCGTCTCCCAACAGGTCATCATGTTTCTTTGTCGCCTGTTCCGTTCCGTTTGAGACCTGTCTTTGCCGAGAAGGAAAGATCCTTGACGGCATCAATGTCTGTCGGTTCGTCTGACCCTGGACGATGGCAGGTCCCCTGGATCCCCCGCCTCGCCTGAATGTCAATTTCCAGAACATCAGTGGGCTCTCAGAACACGAAGCCCGGCCGCCCACCATTTCATCATCTTCAGGTGAGGGAATGAGAAAGCGCCTTGCCGAGAACCCCTGTAGACTGCATGCAGGTACGCTGGACAGCAGCATTGGTATTGTAGTGAGGCAACTGCGCGCGCGGCATGACCCACCAATGCGCAGGAGGCTAGGTACCTAAGGTGCAGGAGACTGGCACAGGAGAGGGGAAACCACTTCGCCGTCGGTGGAGGGCCAAAGGCCAAAGGAAAGATAGTGATAAAAAAAAGAATCATGTCCCAAGCTCCGGGACAAAAAGAAAGCGTGCTGGCTTGAATTGCTTGACCACTGCCGACATGGTTTGAGCGAGGGAGAAAGAAAGATGGGGAAACGAGACGACGTTATTGACCAGAAGCGCTATGTGACCTTGGTGACCAACCATTTTGATCGATCGTGTCGAAGCCCAGCAACATAGTTGCATTGGAACCCGTCTGCCACGAGGTGGTGCGTTTCATCTTCTTTTTATATGGGGAAGCGTTACAATCTGCAGACACAGGCCAGCGGAGCCCGTTGCTTGCTCATCGTCCGTGAGGACGGCCTGTCCTGCCTGGTACGGTACCTTTACTTTCTCAACACTGCTCATGGTATTGGGCTCTGGGGCTGTTTGGGCGTGGCCGTGGAAACACGTTTCTCCTGTTTGCATGTAGTCTACCATACAAGACAGCTCATCTGCCGTGACCAACGCCATCTTGTTCCACTCATTCGATACTTTCGCTGGTAGCCTTCTAGCGGCTATGTTAGAAGACGGACGATGAAGCAGATTCGGCATCTATATGAACCCGGTCTGTGGACCAGGCTCGGCAGATTACTTGTTCTCGGGACCTTGGGACGATGTTCGTCTTTCAATCAACTATCTACTCGGCTGCAGGTAAGGTATTGAATCCAGAGAGGCTCAGCGAACATGCTTCCATCTTGGGAGGTTTTTTCCTTACCTCCCTTAGGTACTTGAGGCACGCATTGCTGTCTCATGATGACTCATCAAATCCCACAGGGGCCGTTGGTCATGACATCTCCTACAACAAGGTGTTCGTCGGTTCTGTCGAATCGAGAAGCATGATGCTTGGTATTCAAAGATCACGCTTCAAGTGGACCAGTACGTCAGGTCGATTAGGTACATGGTAGTTGCACAGTCTCGAATGACTCGAAAATGTACAGGTCAGATGGCTATCACTGGAATGGGGCTTCCTTGCATAATGGCGCTGTGCACACGCTTCGTGAGTATCTGTCAGTGCATATCCAATTATCCCACATATTTAGCAAAACACTGCTGTGGGGTAGTAATGAGGTGCACTGCCGTGCCGAAAGCTGAACCGAAGCAGCCTAGCACGCTGCGCCTGCCCAGGTGAACCTGGTCGCCTCAACTGCGACCAAATTCGCGTCTGCCGCCTGAAGCTCAACGACACTCGGTCACGGCCGGTCTGAATTCGCCCCACGACAGACCCTCACTCATCCGCTCAAAACTACTCTTCAGGAGGACGATAATGGCGCTGGCTACCTCCGCTCAGTCAGTACACCATAGATAGAAGCCACCGCGCATCGCCATGGGAGCCGCAACAGGCAACAGCGCCCTTGCCGGATCCCCGAATCAGCACGCCCCGAAGCCATCCTCGACCTCAAACCAGCCGCGACAGCAGCAGCGACGGCAGCAGTCCACACCGGATTACCACCAAGCCAACGGCGGCCTATCCACAAGTGCTGCGGGTGTGACAATGGCGACGCGAGCTCCGCGTTCGAACGGCATTCATACTCAATTGGGCGGCCCGGAGCTGAGCAAGATGCAACGACCGAGATCACCCTTGACTCTCAATCAGCGATCTAATACCCACACTGGTCACGAGACGCCCGATGCGCGCCCGTCAAGTGCACCCGGAGATAATCAGAAGCAGGATGCGGGGCCTGGAGGCTTCGCGCACCATCGCAACCCTGGACAAGGCAGCAACGGACAGCCGAGGCGACAGCAGCCCAAACCGCTGCTCCTCCGTACAAGGAGCGAGTTTGGCGTTCGACCGAACGATTCTGATCAGTCAGATGAGGAAATACCCCAATGGGGCGCGAGGCATGGCTTCGACGAGCTCTACGAATCGCAGCAGTTCATGGACAAGCTGGCCAATGTAAGTTTGAATCTCTCTACATGCCTCTCACGGGCAGCCCTGCATCCTTATCAGAGCCTGAGAGTTCCTGCAAGCAAGTGCGATCATGACTTGCGCGTTCCGAGCGGCGCAAACGAAGCATGGCTGTCATGGTTCTATGGTAACGCAGGGTTCACCATGTTGTAGACCATGGCCTTTTTTTTGGATTTCGAACCACCTATACCCCGATGTCCGCACCGACGGCTATCATCAGCAAGTGACCAATCTATGGAGATCTGTGTTGAGAAAGACATATGCATACTGGGCCACGGGGGTTCCGCTGCGAGATGACGCATTTGCTAACATTTCTCTATAGAACTGGTACATGTACTGGACCGACAAGCGCCACGAGTCGACGGGCAAGCCGAAGGCCTCGTCTCATGAACTTCAGGACTGGCGCATGCGCGACCGGCTCAAAACGGTGTCAGCTGCGCTTGCTGTGTGTTTAAACATCTCTGTGGAACCGCCAGATCAACTCAGAACGAACCCCGGGGCCAAGTTAGAGGCATGGACGGACCCTTACCATCCAGCACCCCAAAAGGCTTTGGAAAACATAGGAAAACAACTCCAGAGCCAGTACGAAACACTCGCGATCCGGACACGGTACAAGCAATATCTGGATCCATCGGTTGAGGAGACCAAAAAGTTCTGTGTATCCTTACGAAGGAACGCCAAGGACGAGCGAGTTCTCCTCCACTACAACGGACACGGCGTACCCAAACCAACCGCGAGCGGAGAGATCTGGGTCTTCAATAAGAATTACACCCAGTACATCCCCGTCTCGTTGTATGATCTACAGCATTGGCTGCAGGCGCCGACCATTTTTGTTTGGGACTGCTCTGAAGCGGGCAATATTCTAAATAACTACCACCGCTTTGTTGAGAAGCACGAACAAGAAGAAGATGAGCAGGCTGCTCGGGACTCCAATTACGAGAAGACGGCTTTTCAGCCATACATTCACCTCGCCGCCTGCGGTGTCAAAGAAAACCTGCCTACCAATCCTCTCCTCCCTGCGGATCTCTTCACGGCTTGCCTTACAACACCGATTGAAATGGCTCTGTGGTTCTTTGTGCTGCAGAATCCGCTGAAGACCAACTGTACACCCGAGCAGGCAAAAAAGCTACCGGGTAGACTCCAAGAGCGTAGAACGCCTCTAGGGGAGCTGAACTGGATCTTCACAGCCATCACGGATACAATTGCATGGACAACTCTACCTCGACATCTTTTTAGGAAGTTTTTCCGGCAAGACCTCATGGTAGCAGCTTTGTTCAGGAATTTCCTGCTCGCGCAGAGAGTCATGTCCGTCTACGGCTGCCATCCCCAGTCATTCCCCGAGCTTCCGGATACCAAGCAGCACCCGCTCTGGGCGAGTTGGGATCTTGCTGTCGACATGGCGCTGGCGCAGCTTCCCATGCTACAAAAGAAAGAGAACGATGGTATCGACTACGAGTATCAAAACTCGACATTCTTCACAGAGCAGTTGACAGCCTTCGAGGTTTACCTCGCAAGAGGTGACGCAATGTCACAGAAGCCCCCAGAGCAGCTCCCCGTTGTCCTGCAGGTCTTGCTTAGCCAGCAACACAGGGTTCGGGCGTTGATCCTTTTGGGCAGCTTTCTCGATCTTGGCCCTTGGTCAGTGCAGTTGGCCTTGAGCATCGGCATCTTCCCATACGTTCTGAAGCTGCTGCAGTCGGCTGCAGCCGAGCTAAAGCCTGTCATGGTCTTTATTTGGACTAGGATTCTCGCAGTCGACATCTCCTGCCAGCAGGATCTCATCAAGGATAACGGCTACAACTATTTTGCTGCTATTTTGAAGCCTACTGAAGCCCTTCCTGTCTCGAACAGCGACGAGCACAAGGCGATGTGCGCCTTCATTCTTGCTATGTTGTGCAGGGGCTACAAGCCTGGTCAACATGTCTGCAACCAGACAGATATTATGACATACTGTCTTGCCCACCTACAGCACCAGGACAACCCCCTACTTCGGCAATGGGCTTGTCTCTGCCTTAGCCAGCTATGGAACGACCTCCCGGAGGCGAAGTGGCGCGGCATCAGAGAGAACGCCCCGAGTCAGCTCTCCGTTCTTACCAAAGACCGCTGTCCCGAGGTCAGGGCTGCAATGTTGCATGCCATGACCACATTCATCGGCATCATCGATCTAACGGACGAGGTTGCGCGTGTCGAAGAATCCATCGCCTGGACGCTACTGGACATGGCGAACGACGGAAGTCCAATGGTTCGCCGTGAGTTCCTTGTCTTCTTGTCTCACTTTATTCTTCGCTTCGAAAGCAAGTTCATTGTCGCTGCTGTAGAGCAGCTGCAAGAAGAAAAGGAATACCTTCTGTTTCCGCCAGAAATCGACGGCTTGGAGAACAAGATGGGTCTGCATTACACCAGGCAGGAGAACCGCAATGTTGATGGAACCATCAAGCCTTCAGCACATGGTTTTGCACACAACACCGTCTTTGCCGCTTGTTGGAAGCATGCTCTTATGCTAAACGTTGATCCTCACCCCGAGGTCCAGCGCGATGCTACCACCATTGTTGACTACATGCATAACGCGTTGCTCGCGTCACCTGTCGGTGAGCATGCTCAAGCGTTGATGGACGACATTCGAAGAAGGGCGAAGCGCGCCTCTGCCAGAAGCCAGCACGCTGCTAATAATAGGCATGGCGTTCTCGGTGCATCACCATCATCCACAAACGCTCCACTGCCGTCCCCAGGACTCCTGCGTAGGACCGCGAGCTACCTGTTCACCGGCATGTTTGGAGCGAACGGAGCAATGGAACCCGGGAGAACCATGAACCAAAGCAACCCCGTTCCTTCTTCGCCTGGCCTACCTCGGAGTGCCTCTCAAAAGTTCCGAGGACCTGAGCTGGCTTCCGCTCCTCCAGACCAGATTGATCAGACCAACTACTCCAAATATCACACAGCCAACGAGCCCGTATCCGGCGGCTACGAAGAGCGCAGCGTGGGGGAAATTTCGTCGCTCCCTCTTCGCAGCACCTTCCTAGATTGGTCTGTAGAATACTTCCGTGAGCCTCAGATGAAGCCGAGTGAGTCGGATGAGCCGGGAAGTACGGAGTACAACGAGCGCCTTTGGAGAAGGTCTCGCAATGAGACGATTCTCCAAGACACCCAGCCCCTGAAGCAGTATGCCGGCAGCCACAAGTGGGACAATCAGGTTCGACTTATCAACAATGGCGCCCAACCTGCCAAGATGACTTTCCATCAGTTCGAAGACCAGCTTGCGGTGGCAGATAACGGCAACACTGTGTATGTCTGGGATTGGAAGAAGCAGTCACGTCTCAGCAAGTTCTCCAACGGCAACCCCGAGGGCTCCAAGATCAGCGACATGAAGTTCATCAATGAGGACGATCAAGGTTTCCTTATGACAGGATCCTCTGATGGTGTCATCAGGGTGTACCGAAACTATGATTCAGACGACGCAGGTCGAACTAGCGTCGTCCTGCGCGCCCTTACGCACATGGGAA